CAGAGCTGTCATGGCAGTGGGAACTTGAAAATCTGATGTCATTCTGTTATCAGTCAAACGTTAAGAGATGAACCTGGGTAGGACTCTCTGGAAACTTCTCTAGGACTCCAGATAAAACTGGAGTGCAGGAGAGGCACACTGTCCTTTTCCTCTCTGAGAGGACCCACTCTTTCCCTTGAGATTGTCTCCTTTCCCTTTTCTTATCCCTTCAGTAAACTCATGCCTGCTACTTTGAGCAACATGTCTGAAATCTGACTTGATTGATTGTAAAATTGAGCTTTAAAAGCAGGACGAGGGACATCTTCACACTCAGTGTCCCAAAAGGCCCCAGCCCTGTTACACTTGTATTGAAAAGCATTATCCTATCCCCTACATTAGTCTTTTTTTTTTTTTTTAATAAAAAGATTAATAGACATGTTGGGGTCTAGTACTTTCTTTAATTTTGCCTTTACTATAGAGAATACAGACTAAAATAGATTTGAGATTTCAGTGTTTGTGGTTTTGCAGTAGTAGATATGCTACATCAGCTGACAGCATATCACGGCAGATCCAGTTATAGGTGGAATGGATGCATGTTCCCTTTTGTTATTCAGATTTGGGAATGCTACTATCATTGTTGCTATTGTACAATTTAGGATAGCCAAAATAGTTCAAAGGCAAAAATGAGTAAAAACACTAGGTTTTCTAAAGATATATTGAAGAGAGAAACTCACTGGGAATTAATCATTCTACTCCTATATAACTAACTCCTCCTACTTGACCAAATAATTCAACAAAAAGCACAGGTATACAGAATATCAAAATCAATCAACCACTCAAAACAAAAAGCTAATATCTTCAGAGAGAAAACCAAAGCAGATATTTTTTGAAGTAAGTAGATACTTGAAAAAAGAGATGACATGAGTTAAGTTTCCTGTTTTATGGCAGTTACCCAGAGAGAAGGCCAAGTTCAGAACCATGTTGAGACACATAAAAGTCTGATAGGAAGCCTGAAGTCTTATGACTGAAGCATCAGGTGATGCACCAAGGTTGACTGTAATTGAGTAGGGAAATATTGGAAAGAAGAAAGCTAGCAAGGGATAGAATAAAATTCCACTGATAAAGCTATGTCACAATCTCTAGCTGTTCTCTAAACTGCACCTTTGAGGGCAGATTACAAGCAGATCAACTATAAAAAACATAATACTTGCTGAATGAAGATTTGTGCTGCACTCAAGTAAAAGAGCTTCCAGTTTGAGTTCAACCAAGTTGTCCATTAAAATGAAATACAAAAATAAACAAACAACATTGAAATAATCACAATCCTCAGAGAAACTAAACAGATTCAACTGTTTCTCCACTGCATAACATTCACAATATCCATGACAGAGTCCCCAAACAAGTCAATGTGATGAAGTAAATGTGTTCCATTTTCAAGAGAGAGACAAGACAATACTACAAAACCCAGACAAGGGTATTCAAGCAAATATTATAACTCTACCTGTGTAAAAAAAGATGAAAAAAAATGATATACACTATAAATTAAAAATAAAAAGAAAATCTTATAGCTTGTGAAGAAATGAAAATTCTAAGAATGTGGAAAATTTAGAATAAAAGAACACAATATCTTAAATTTAAAATAAAATAAAATAAAATAAAAAGACCACTGCATATATTTGACAACAGGATGGAGATGGCAGACAATGTGTGACTTTGAAAACAAATCAATAGAAAACATCCAGTTTGTAGAAAAATGATTAAAAATATATTGAAAATAATTAAACAGAGCCCTGGGAAGCTGTGAAACAATATCAAAATATCTACCTTTCCTGTAATTAGAGTCTTAGATGTAAATCAGTCAGGGGGAAGAGGGAAAAGGGCATAAAAATATTACACAAAAATGATAATTAATTTATAAAAAATAGAGATTAAAAACTTAAGTAAGTCTGCAACCCTCTCCCAAAAATAATTATTAAAAAAGTACACCTTATCATGCAAAAGTCAAGTTGCTAAGCACACACAATGAAATGAAAAAATTAAAAGTAGAAAAAAATGATGCATTATGTACAGGAAATATTAAATTTCCACTGAACTCTCATTAGAAGCACTGATTAAAATGATGGGAAAATTTAATTAATATTTTGCATTGTTATGTGACAGGAGGTGCATTTGCGACTGTCTACAAGGATAAAGCAGATAATATAAATGAGGGAAGCAACTGGGGTATGGCTGTATACATACATATTGGCTCAGTGATAGGAGTGAGGGAAGTTCAACAAATGCAGATTACTGTGTTATTGGAAATCAAGGGCAGTGTCAACATGTTTCTGTTTCTCAAAGGAAGAAAACAAGCCACCCTTGAATGTAAATTTCATGATGTTTAGATATTGACTTCAAAAATAGTTTACAATATTTTGTGGCCAAACAAAACATCTGTGAGATGAATGAAATAGACGGTAGGTAATATGTGACTTTAAGTAATGAACAACAAAGCATCAGATGAAAGAAAACGACCAGAATTTTAAGTAAGACTGGCTGATCTACTCTTTCTATCATTTATCTATCATACAGTATGAGACTACTTTAAAAGAAATTATATCAGTGCTTACCAAAGCCTGAGATGATCACATTCAGGTTAAATAGTTTGTTCATTACACATGCACTTTTGCTTTTATATTAAGAAATAAGGAGATCATTATTCTAGTTTTTTTTCAGGGAGGGAGTATGGGGATTGAACGCAGGGAAACTCAACCACTGAACCAAATCCTCAGCCCTGTTTTGTGTTTTATTTAGAGACAGGGTCTCACTGAGTTGCTTAGCATCTGGATTTTGCAGAGGCTGGCTTTGAACTCCCAATCCCCATGCCTCAGCCTCCTGAGCTGCTGGGATTACAGGCAAGCACCACCACTCCCAGCCATTATGCTACTTTTAATATAAACAAAATTACTATAGATTTGTGAGAATATGAAATATAAAAATAATAAGTGTTTCTCTTGCAGATCTTATAAGAAAAAAGTCTGGTACTGAATTTACAGTAAATGTCTAGGACAGCTGAAGGTTGTCTAAAAATGTGCCTTGATTAATGCTTTCTCCTCCAATAGAACCCACGTGAAATGTTTTCCTGATGTCTTACTCTTTTGTCGCATGGAAGTAAGACCATGTCCAGAGAACTTTATTTATTCGACAGTAGTGCTAGCTTGCTAAAATTTATTTTTCCTTCTTCTAATTTTAAAACTGCATGAGGCTGATTGGTTATCTATTCTGTAGGTAGTAAAAGATACATAATTGTGTTTGATTTCAAGCCCAGAGATTCCTGAAAGGGGGAAGCATTCAGAAGGGACTACTGCACAGCTAAAAAAGAATTTCAGCTTCACAAAACTAGAAGATAGTTTCTAAGTATTTTTTTTTTAGTTCAAACTATAACTTAAGCTTTAAATATTTTTTTCTCAATGCAAAAAAACATTTGCCTCAAATACATGGAATGACCATTCTATGACCATTCTATATTTTCTGGCTTAATTTTCATATAGTTTAAGGAATAAGAATTAAGGAATGACATCATATAATGTAAGCTGGAAAATGGCACACACGTGCAATATTAATTATTAAAGAAGAAAATCTGAAGAGCAAACAAGAGGAATGGTTCAGACAGAATGTGCAATCAGCTGTCTTTTGTACTGTTAATGGAAAAGTGTTTCTCTTGCCCTCTGCTCCTCTGCTGTTTCTGCAGTCCTTTCCACTCCATTTCTTGTATAACCCTTCATGCTTAAGGCTCACTGTCACATTCTCATCACGTCCTCATCTCTTGGTTTCCTTTCAAACATGCTGAGAAGTTCCCTTTAAGGGAAACAAAATCTCCAAAACTTGCCCTTTGCCCTACTATGCCCATCCCATCCCCCTTTTATTTAATTCTTATTTTTCAAATGTTTTGAGAATTTTTAACAACAATACTACATATATTTCATTAGAATTCAGTAGAGGAAGAGTGGGCATGCTCCTCTAACATTGGGTTTTGAGACTTAGAAATGGCTGTGTAATATACCAGGCAAATCACTTCACCTGTGAGCCTGGTTGTTTCTCCAAAGCAATGGAGAAAATTTGCTACTACAACTTGCTTTTGGGAATACAAGAAGATGCATTTGTGTTTTACCTTATTCTGATAATAAATGTGTGAAGTAGACATATTTGGTGAGTTCTTAAACTCTACCTGCTCAACAGTGTTTTTGTTCGTTTATGTGTGCTGTGTGTGTTTAGTTAAACCTCATGAAAAAACATAAAGGGTAAAAAATAATGTTAACCTCAAAACTTTTAATATTCCTAGCAGTAAACACAAGAAAGAAACATGAAATAAGAAACCACTTAAGAAGTGGTTTTAATTCTGCTTTGGGGAATTCATGGTAATCTGAGAAGATGCCATAGCAAGAGGAAAGACAGAGGGCAGGCAAGACTTCCAGCTATAGCCTCATTTGAAGATTTCACATTTTGTCTAGTTTTGCTTAATATGTCATTTGAGTGATTCCATGGCCTAAAAACCAATATAAATCCTAAAACAAGAAAGGCCTATAGCTAGAGACTTTGTTTTCTGCTCTGAGATTTCACTGTTGGCAGGACTAGGATTTTAGGGTCTTCTCAAAACTGACAATGTATTTGGTGTGTGTTTGTGGTTTGTGGTGGCATTATTGTCATTAATTTTCAAATTGCATAAAGCCTATGCATCACATTGGTTATACCATATGCGATGGTTTGTTTAGAATGCTTAGACTGATTATGAGTCTACAAATATAAAATAAATTTAGTAAAGATGGTGGCATATTATGCCTATGAATGCATTTTGCTTTTATGTTCAGTTACTGCCAAAGATAAAATACAACACAAATATTGTAAATAAGTCAATTTTTATATAATAATAGTTAATTTAAGTAGTTCTATTAACTAATATTAAATAGAACAAATATCAACTGGGATAAATGTTAATTTTATTCCTTATAGTGAAATCTCATCACGTATGGCTATTTACATACCGGATCTTCTGGATTGTATTGAATAACATATTCTATCTGTCCATTTGGGCCATCATCTATATCAGTAGCTCCATTGTCTCCTGAAAATCCTGTAAATACCGTGGTGCCAACTGGAGTGAGCTGAAAGGAAAAGAAAGGAAAAACTTAATTCTCATTTTGTCAGTTGTACATCTAGTATATAGCACAAAAACCAGCCTTTAGTAACACAAAGGAAGAGAATAGACATCTGCCTACAACCACAGAAATGAAATATTTTTAAAAAACACACTTGCAAACCTAACATAGGAGTTCTTACAATGTCTGAAATTTCCAAATTCCTGATCCTTGCTTCAGGTAAAGAAATAGAAGGATTCAGAATAAAGCACATTTGGCCCAATTTATACCCATTAGCATCTTAATACCTGTGGAGAAAATGCATCTGTTTTTTCTTGAAAAACCTTGAAGCATTAAGTTATCTACATGATAGAATTTCAATCGTACAAGTAAGTTTCTTTATTTTAGTTTCAAAAGCCTTTTCAGAGACAGCCCAAAATCCAGGTTGTTAAGTATATCCACATGGCAAGTTTGGGGAAGAGAAATTATAATAATGACTGCCCTTTTAGAGGAAGAAGCTATGAATTTCTTCTGGGCTTCTAATATTGGTTGTATAAGAAACAATTTTATGACAGGAGTTGAAGACAGTCACATCTTTTTATCTATTTTTTTAAATTAAAAGAATAATAGTAAAACAATGTATTTTGGCATGTAAAACCATGTAAGGCATTTGGCCTATTAATGTGGAGATCCTAGAATCTCCACAGAACATCACTGTTATTTTCTCTTACAAATTGTCTTTGTACAAATTGTCTTTGTACAATATATTTTTGTCAATTCTCCTTTCCCATTCCTCATGTTTTAGCTCATTAATTACTCGTTGAGTATGTTTCAACTTAGTTTGATATCACTTACTACAATACCATTCCTAATATAGCCTTTGCCACTATGAGTAAAATTATAGTGACCTTTTTTGTTTGTTTATGCATTTTACACTTCTGTATACATTATGCTGTCCCAGTAAATGAACACATTTTAGCAATAAACATAAGCTCTGTACTTCTACAGTGCAGAGACCTAATTTTATTAGGTTTGTTGTGTTAATTATTGGATGGGATTCCCTCATGGAAAAATACTTTAAGAAGGAAGAAAGAGATCATCTAATTTACTAACATTTTTTAGGGGTTATAAATTCAAATGTCTACAGAGATCAATCAGGGGATGAAAATGTGGAAAGCAAGTCTGATGGGAAAAGTGAACAAATGCCCTAATTTGATAGCTGCTACTCAGCCCTACAAAATTCTTACCATAATGGAATATGGAGCTAAAATTACTAGGTCATCTAAAATTCTAATTTTATAGGAAAATTATTGATTCTCAAGTTGGCACTAGATTTTATAAAATTAAACTATGAATGGACCAAACACATTTTTATTGGTCTAACAACTACACTAGTTTGTAAATTTTTATTTACAAAAACAACATAACTATGATTAAAGAACTAAACCATAGCTATAAGGAAATAGGATATTTATAATATTATTCTAAGTTAACTAAATGGCTTCCAAATTGCCATTTTTATTTATTTTTAAATGCATAAAATGTCAGAAAAGATACCATTCTCTTTTATAAAAAAATCACTCATTCTTATGTAGCTATGCTTTTAGGTTTTTTTGCTTCTATTTATTTGACAAATGAAAATTGTGTGAGTATGTATACACACATATATATGTATGTATATATATATATATATATATATATATATATATATATACTTATTATGTACAACATCTTTTAAAATGTGTATGCATTGTGTATTGTTTAAACAAAGCTAATTAACATATCTATACTTCAAAATACATCATTTTGTGGTGACAACAATAAAACCTGATTGATCAGCAATTTTAAAAAATCTAGTCACTATGTTGTACAGCAGACCTCTTAAACTTATTTCTTCTCCTTACTTAACTGGAATTTTGTATCATAGTCATCATTATACTCAATGTCTATGAATTCAATTTTTTAGATTCCACACATGAGTTCTATTTCTCTTTCCATGCCTGAATTATTTCACATAACATAATATCTCCCAGGTTCATCCAGAGTTTTAAAATTATGAAAATTAAAATAATTGCTACCAGATGTTTAATAAAATATTTAATCAAAGATTTTGTTGCCAAAGCAAAAAACAACATCATGGGGTTGAACTAAATAAAAGCAAATCAAAAAATGCTAAATCAAAGAACAAATAAAATAAGAAACCAAAAAATTGAACAATATTGTGTCAGGAAATTCTGAAAACAAGTGTGCCTGTATCCTTCAATCTACTTACTGAGCCTTCAGGTACCATTAGACCACTTTCACATTAGAGCCAGATTCTGGAGTCAAACACTCGGTGATACAGTGGGTATCATAGGGAAGGAATAGGAGATCCTGAGGAACTCAGGTCACATTCAAGAATATTAAAGGTCGTGGGGTCCACAGGTGGACTGGAGTCAGGGAAGCAACTGCTTTTCAACAAAAAGTGAGCAAAAGGGTTCTAAAGACAACAGAGGTTACTTTCCCAATTTAATAAATTCTGCTGGCCTGTTTAATATTACCTTAAATGACAATTTGCTATAAGATTGATATTTTTTATATCTACTCACTATTACTAAAACCACTTTTTTCCTGTTTTTCTTAAACAATTTTTTTTTCTGAAATGCCTTCTCTGTGAGGAATGATGATCAGCTTGCCTGATTCTGTTACTTGTTTATTTAGTTCATGTCTTTTGCCACAAATAATTGTATACAGCTATACAGCTATATTGGGAAGTACATGAACTACACTGATGAATTCAAAAGCAAAAATTTTAAAAAATAAAAATGAAAAATTAACGTCCTTTAAGAAGAAGCCAGTAATAAGACTTTTTACCATGAAGAAATGATAAATATTTGAGGAGATGTTTAGCCTTACTTAAATATTATGTCATGTAAACATATATCTAAACATCACATAGTGCTCCATAAATATGTACAATTTTATGTTTTATGTATTATTTTAAAATGTTTGATTTAAAAAAAATTGCTTATATTTCTAGGTTGGATGAGAGATTTAGTTTTGATTTATAATACTGAATTGATATATTTTGTCTCAAAATTAAACAATTTCTCTTTTTTATAAAAAAGTAAGAGAAGTTAGAATGTAAACATACAAGATGGTGACAATTTCTGAGTTTACTTTTCAGGTATTTTGTGAAGAATATTTCCTTAATACAACTCAAAAATTATGAACAATACTCCAAAAGAGAGTACTCCAATCTTACACATAAAAAATCCCCACAGAATTATTGTATTCATTGTTTGATATGAATCCAGGTGGTTATCTTATTAGATGTAGTGGTTAAGTTCCATAATACCAACACAAACATTGAATTAATGAGTATTAAACCTAGGAGGCTTGAGAAATACAAAAATGGATTCTGCAAATGTCTAGTTTAAATATTTTTTTATCAACTGATCAATGCATAACCTTGTTTTGTTTAAAGACATTTAATACATATTTTGGGTTTATTAACTTCCATCTCTGAGCTATCCGCACTATAATTCATGCCTGAATGAAGCTTATCTAACCCATGTATTTTCTGCATAAAGCCTATTACATTCTTCTGTTAGGAACACTTGACGACCCATCAGCAGTACTTTAAGGGGCCATTTCAAACAACACGATCATGACCACCACCAACAACAGCAACAACAATAAAGACCACAAAAATGTAGAAAGATGACACTACATAAATTACAAATAGAATAACTTCATGAAGCATGAGATTTGAAGAGATGGCAGAACATAGATTTATTTCACTTTAAGTAGAAATGTGTGCAATTGTTGACAAAATTCTCACCAGTCTGTGCATATCTGCAAATGACTGCAAAAGTTTGGCAAGAATTGATTTTGTAGTTACAAATAAATTTTTGTTAGTGGAACAACTTGCAAATAAGGAGTCTGCACAATGAGAATTGGCTATATGTAACAGACAGAACTAGGTTTTCATTTGAATTCTGGCTAAAAAATGCAATAAACTAGAAATTATCAGACTTAAGTTTGACTTTTGTCCTGTCTGTGCTTACCTATAACTCCTGTTTTCAATTATTTTACATTGATAGATAAAATTGTATGTATTTATCATGTACAACATAATATGTTTGAGAAGTTAAACATTTGCAAGGCTTAAATCTAGCTAATAACAAATGTATTAACTTACATGCTTATAATTTTGTAGCAAAGCATTAAATAACCATATTCTTTGAATTTTTCAACAACACAACATACTCTCACTAACTATGATTCCAAACTTTACAATAGATGGATCCCTTAAACATATTCCTCCCATCTAAATGTAAATATGGTGGAAAGCTCTAAGAAATCAGTCTTGGCAATGAGTTTTTGGATGTGATCCATGAGTGTAAGCAACTAAAGGAAAATATACAGATGGGATTAGAATATACTAAAATGTTTCTGTACAATTAAAAAAACTGAGTAATGAAACAAGTTACAGAATGGGGAAAAATCTTTTCAAATTATACATCTGATAAGCAATTAATATCCAAAATATGTAAGGAACCTAAACAACTCAACAGAAAGAAAGCAAATGTTTCTGATGTTGGCTGGGATACTATTCATAATAGTCACGCTATGAGACCAACATGTCTCCATCAACTAGTGAATAGATTTTTTAAAAATTGTTATAAAGTCAGTCATAAAGGGATGGAAAATCCTGTCATTTGCAAGAGTACAGCTGAAGCTGGATGCCACTGTGTTGAATGAAATAAGCCAGACACAAAAAGACAAATACCATATGATCTTACTCATTTATAGAATTTAAAAAACTGATTTCATAGAAGCAGAAAATAGAATGAAAGTCAACAGAGATTGTTGAGATCTATTGTACATTAACTTAGTAGTCTTTCTGTAATCTAACAGTAAACTATCTGAAAAAGAAATTGAGAGAACAATTCCATTTACAATAGCCATAAAAATGTAAAATACTTCAAAATAAATTCATCCTAAAGGTGAAAGATCTATAGAAAACTAAAAGGCATTGATGA